TTCTTTGGCTGAGTAGTGAGCGCATGGGTGTTTTATTCATGTTTTATACATTCTGCACATAAATAGAATTCTAAAACTCAAAAATATTAAGCCTAAACAAAACAAAAATTAAAAGACTAGAAAAATTGCCTTTTTTTAAAAAATTGAGATGCAGTCTTGCTCATGTCGCCCAGGCTGGAGTGCAGTGGCATGATCTCAGCTTACTGCAATCTCCACCTCCCAGGTTCAAGCGATTCTCCTGCCCAAGCCTCCCAAGTAGCTGGGATTACAGGTGTCTGCTACCATACCTGGAAAAAGTCACTTTTAATGGCAAAAAGCACAATTACTTTTGCATCAGCCTATTAACCTAATAGCCATACAAGAAACAACAAAGGAATGGGTAATTTTGGATATACTCAAAAACTGAAAAAAAAGTCATATTAATAAAAAGATGTTTAAACTACAAATGAATGTAAATGCATGAAAATAATTTACTCTTATTAGCAAACAAGAGCAAACTAAAACAATCATCAGTTAAGAAATAACACTAAATATGAGTAAGGCTGTGGTAAGACTAACACTTCCCTATAAGCTGGCAGGAATGAATATTGGTACAACATCCATGGAGGAAGTTTAGCACATATGATCAAAGGCCTGAAAAATATGAACACTCTTAAAACCAATAATTCAATTTCTGAACATGAATCTTAAGAAAATAATCTGAACTACTACACAAAGAAATCTGTATTAAATGAAAACTGGGAAGAATCTGAATGTATACAAAGGGACTACCTAAGACAAAAGATAAGAAAACTGTCTTTTATTTATAGAACCAAATATTAAATGACAGTATACAATGTTGCTTACTTCATAAATATGGAGAAATAAAATCATGTCAATAAAAATGTATTTTGTAACAGGCAAAATTATATACAGAATAGTCTTGTAACTTTGTTTTCTTAAGTGTATAGAAAAAAGACTGTAAACAATGTATCCACTGTTAGCATACCTATCTCTGAATGGCCAGTTTCATGGGGGTTTCTTCAGACATTTTTGGTATGAACTAAATTAATTTAAATGAATTCATATACTTGTAAAGCCAGACAACAAACCTAATCACGAAACCCACAAACCTCTCAATGGCTCTCCATATCAACTAAAGTGCAAACACATCTCTTCGGTACCCAAGGCTCTCTACACTATAGTCCCACGGTATTTAACCATGTGTGCTTACCTTCCTTAAGGTTTATCAAAGTGGACTTCCTATTGCTTCTGAACATGCCCCATACCTTCTGACCTCAATGCCTCAGTTCAGACTATTCAATCTGCCTGGATCACCTTCTCTACCTGGCTGAGTTCTACTGTCTTCCAAAGTTCATGAGAAACACTACCTTTTTAATGAATTTTTTTATAACTCTGTGCTAAGCTAGTTACCCCAGCCAGATGTTATTTCTCTGTCTTTGACTCTTACAAAAAATATTTCAGCACCATTACTCTTAATACAATTTGCCCTAATTTTAATAGCTATATCTGTTTTAATGCCTTTCCTAGGTTGTAGTAGTTTGAGAAGGGGCAGGCTCTATCCTTCTTCCACTCTTTCTGTAATACTGATACACTGCTTCCCAGAATTAGGCATATAACGAGTACTTAAGGAACTTAATAACTTATTGTCACAAGAGATTAGTCTCCTTTCTTGGGCATGAGAAAGAGGAAGAAAAGAATGGGAAATGTTTCTCATTTGAGACTCCGCATGGAATTTCTCAGAAACAGTAAGGAAAATAGTACCATAATTATGGACTAATATTTTATTATTTTTGCCAGCCAAAAATCTATCTATAATGGTAACTTAATTTCTATAGACACAAAAATGTGCTTGGAATTCCCAAGAACCTACCTCCAAAAGCATTTCTGGAATACAGTTTGTGGTTGAAGTGATACACTTGCAGAAAATAAATACTTTCCTTTAGGAAAAACATCAACTTTGCTTAAGTCTGCCTTAAGCCTCTTCTGAAACAAAATATTGTTAATGACAATAGAAAGGGTGAAAGAAAAAGAAGGAAAGTGGATGTTCTAAACGCCTGAGTTAATTTCTAAAAGCAAATTCTAAAGGGAAAATACGGGCAAATTAAAAAAAAAAACACCCCTTTTATTATCACTTTCCAATTCTACCTTTGTCTGTTACCATATTCCAGGAAACAACTGAAATCTTAAGGTAAGAAAGACTTCAAAGGCTTCTATTTTGTTTTTCCATGCAAATCTTTAAAATTGGACTAATCTTCTTATGTATATATTTAAATGTTGCTATATTCAGTGAGTATGTATTGAGAAATGTGCTGGGCATACAAAAGTGAGTAAGACACACAAGGTCTCTGCTCTCAATGTCTATAGGCTGTTACAGAACCCATGTACATTCTACTGGAGGAAATGAAAAACACACAAACCAATGAACAAGATAATTACAGATTACCATAAGGGCTGTAAAGCAGAGAAAATAAACAAGACAGGGAGACGTTCAATAATTAGTGAAGGCCTGTTGGATATTTAAACACCGAAGAGGAAAAAGGACCAAGCCATGCTCAATACCTGGGTAAAATCTTTCTAGACAAAGAGAAGTAGAAAGGTCCAAGATGGAATAGCCTCATTCTGTTTGAGGAATACAGACAAGGCAGTGTGGCTAGTTGTGTTTTTCAAACTGGGGGTCACATTTTAAATTGTGATGTTAATTTTGTAGGTAATTGCATTTTTAAAAAGGAACTCAAATAGAAAAAACACATCAGAGAGTCACATGTTTTCAGAAGTATTCTTTAATGAATTTTTGCTGTGGTTATGTGAGTGTGCACATTTGTACTGGGTTGCAACATATAACATGTATCTTACTTTGAACAGTGCTCAAATCTGCACTAAGCAAGCAGAGCAATAACAGATGACGATGGGGTGTGGGAGGCTGGCAAGAGCCAGATAACACATGGCCTTGCATTATAGGCCACCATAAAGAATTGGGATTTTATTCTAAACACAATTGGAAAGGCACTGAAAGGTTTCAAGCTGGAGAGTGACATATCTAATTTGACATCATGGTGTTGTCAAAAGATTACTGTAGTGAAAATCAAAAGACATGAGCACCTAGACCTGGCCTAGCCAATAACATCAGGGATTTTGAGCAAATCTCTTAATCTCTCTAGACCTCAGTTTCTTCATTTTAAAAATGAGAAGGTTGCCCCAAGATGACCTTTAAGATCTTGTTTATTGCCTCATTTCTGCGTCAATTCTGCTTCCTCCCTTGGGCATAAATACTGTTATTGGCTCATTGAGTCTAATTCTGAGTTACTTCTTAAAATATTATAAACCATGTATAAACAGCTATAATAGTTATATTTCTGTAGAAAGCAATTGAAGAATCATCTCTTTATTGGAACTAGCTATATTATTAGAAATGAGAACTCTGGGTGAAAAGTGGATCAAGTGCTTTTGCAACTCTCTGGTACAAAGTTTGGGGTGTGAAGAAAATTGGCAAGGAGGCATGAAAAGATTTACTGACTGGTATTTGAAACTGATTTCCATATTTGTTCTAGGTCATCAATTGATGTATAATCTAAGATGGTTTAAAGTTGCAGAGAACCTTTGCTGAGTACTAGTCAAGATGTAGAAGCTTAACGCCTTTCACAGTAACCAAAATGACTACTGAGGCAAAATATTCACTGAGAACCTACTGTATGTTAAGACATGCTAGATGGTTTGATATATTTTTTTAAATTTAATCCTACTAACTTTATTATTTACATTTCACAGATATGAAAACGGGCTCAGAATAAACAAGTAAGCTATTTAGTGATAGGTCCTTGATTATAATCGGTCTTAAGGTAGGCAACATATAAATCATTATTCAATTCCATATTTACAATAAGTTATTCCATATGTTTTACAAAATTATTGTACAAGTATTAAATATTCAGTTATGTACTTGACAACTCAAGTATCTGTGACATCTGGACACAGAATGTTCAACCAATAAATCAGTTCTGGACTCATAGGTACTTTGCAAGATACAGTTTGGGATGATGAGAAGTTGTTCCATCATTGGAGGGCCTATTCTGTGGGTAGCATGCTGAGTTATATGAAAGCGAAATTAAGCAAAATATCAAAGGAATTTGTACACCCAATTAAGTACACATCAATAGTATTATGGCAGTTTCCAGGTACGTTTTCTCTAGTGTTGTTGGACAATGTCACCCTTGTTGTGGGCCTAATAAGTATCCTGCAAGTTCCATAAACATGAGGACATGCTAGAAACTTACCGATTTCCAACTTATATTAACCCTTTAAAGGAAGCATGTGACACACTTGATCATTTGAAGCAGCGCAGACGGCTTGTCATGGAGAGGACAACGTTTGAGACGTGCCCAGCATCATCCTTGGGAGGGTCGAAAAGGTCCCTAACACCTTCCACAAAGACACAACACTCCAGCAAAGTTGGGGATGCTTCCTGCACACCTTAACACCCAGAACAGAGTACCCACCTGTCACATACTCAGCTTCAAACCTGCGTCGGGTCTCAGAGATGAGCTTGGCTTTATTCTGGGCGTGATTCTGGATGGGAGACATGACGGGACCTTAGATACTACTTGCATCAACCCGCTTACCCTCAGCCCAGCCCACCTGCACCCGGGCGCTCGGTCCCCGGGCCTCAGAGGCGGCTTCCGGGTCCGGGCACCCAGCGGCGGTGCAATAGACTCCTCACCTCGGCCATGATCGCGGTCGTGGATGTGATTGCAGTTGTCGCCGTCGCCCGTTCTACCGTCGCCGACCGAGTATCTCATCACCCGCCAGTCCCGCCCAGAGGTAGACAGAGAAGGGTGGGAGGGGGAGGCGGTCGCGTGACACCGGAAGACGGACAGAAGTGCCGGTGCACTGCCCAATCCAATGCGGACGCCTGGGTCTGGAGGCGGGACCAGGCCCTCAGCCTAGGTCCCATTCGGTTCTCATCTGGCCTCGCCCCGCGACTTCCCCCGCACTGCGGTCCCACCCCCGCCAGCCGCGAGAACGCCGGCGCTTCCCCCGCGCAGCTCCGCCCTTGAGAGCTCGCTGGCTATTCGCTTTCGCAACATCCCTAGGGCCCCGCCTCCTCAGCCTCCCTGGGCAACCTTCTCCGTGCTGGCTTCTAGGCTCCGCCTCCTCTGCGTTCGACGCAGCCTCCGCCGGGCCTCCCAGGATGCAGCTCGCTGGCGGGAGGTTTGGAGCAGATAGATACTGTATCCGCGTGGGGCATCCGGAATGTTGCCGTTGCGTTGAGGTAGGATGGAACACCTAGTCTTCCCTACCTGGGACTTCGCAGAGGGGGCGATGGGGCTGGATTTCCTCCCTTTGTCCCTGCAGTGCGGGAGAGAGAGAAGGAAGCCGGCATCCTGAGACCGGGGTCTGTCATTCCGTGGAATGATAATTGGATTTTAAGTGCTACAATCAGGGATTATTTTGCTTGAAACTTTTTTTCATCCCTTCAGTATCCTTCCCACTTCGAGTGTGAGATGCTTAACGAGCAAAATATCTGTGAAATCTTTAATCTCAAATAGTTATATAAAGTTAAATGATAAAAGCGTCTTTCGGCTTATTAATTAAGGTACTTGCTCTCAAAGGGCGCGGGGGGAAGGGGTAGGTTTTACCACCCAGCGACTTTGGGAGCGTCTGGAGACATTTTCAATTGCCACTGCTGGGGGTCGGGGGCAAAAGAATGCTACTGGCTTCTACTGCTTAGAGACCAGAGACGCTGCCAAACATCCTGCACTTACGTGAAAAGTCGTAACAGTTATCCAGCGCAAAATGTCAATAGTGTCAAGGTTGAGAAAGATTTAGATTTAAAGGGACTGGAACAAATTTTGTGCGTCAGTTAAAAACAATTGAAAGAAAATCGTTGCGCATTCAATATTGCCTTTTTTAAAAGTTGAAAGATACTGAAAACTACAAACAAGTTGAATGAACAGTTCCCCATATTTCCATCAACCGTAGTCATCCATGACAGAGGCATGTTAGCATCTTTTGTCCTAAACTTTTAAATATGTTTGCGTTTTATAGGAAAAAATGAACACATTGTTCAAACGTTGTTTGACTACAGCCTTAAAAGATATTTCAGATATAACTAAAGTCTCCCTCTATCTCTACTCACCTATCTTGGACACTTCCTTGTCCAGAATCAACAGTCATTCAGAATTTAGCACGAAATCTGTTTTTACATTTTTTATTTTGGATCATCTTGCCTGGGTTTGAATCCTGGTTCTGTCACTTCTTATCTGCAAGCCTTTGAGAAGATCCTGAAACTCCATGCCTCAGTTTCTCCATCTATAAAATGGGATAGCAATAGTGCCTATGGCATAATGATGTTATCAGGAAGAAGAGAGTTAATCCAAAGTGCTTAGAATAGTACCTAGCACTGTTTATTCAGGAAAAAAAAATAGTATATGGCAGTATTTCTTGAGAAAGCACTCAGGTAATTTAGCTGTTGTAGGTAAATAGAAAATATATAATACTGTTTGTTTCAATTTACATAAATAATATACTGCAGTGTACATTTGTCTGCAACTTAATTTTTAATTCATTTTATGTTTAAAATCTAACCATGATTTTATACGTATAGATAGATCTAATTCATTCCTTTTAACTCTAGTATGATAGTCCATCTATATTTACTCATTCCGCTATTGGTGTTCATTGAGGTTTTTACTTTTTTTTATATTGCAAAAATCAGCACAGTAAGCATTCTAGAGCAATGTATTCATTCATATGTGGAATTATATCTCTGGGTTCATATCTACGAATGAAACTACTGGATGTATGCATTTCAGTTGACTGTCAAATTACCTTCAGGGTCATCTCTCCCTTTTATTAAGTACTCATTGTTTTCTTCTAATTGTTAGCTCTTTTTCCAATCTGATCTCACTCACATCTTTAACACTGTCACCAGGATCTTTATAACTCAAAAGTACAGTCCTGTGATTTCTGTTTTTGAAAACTTTCGGTGGTATATCATTACTTATATAAGAAATTCAGAAATCCTTAACATGACATAAAAATCTTCTTTAACTGAATCTTCCCAAATTCTCTAATTTAGTTGATCACCATTCTCTCACATTTACTCACATTTCGGGTATATTAGATAATGTTGAAAAAGGTGAGATCAATTTTGTGTAGGCCCCAACAAATAACTTATGTAGGGAGAAAAAAACTTTTTTTTTTTTGAGACGGAGTTTCACTCTTGTTACCCAGGCTGGAGTGCAATGGCGCAATCTCGGCTCACTGCAACCTTCACCTCCCAGGTTCAAGCAATTCTTCTGCCTCAGCCTCTCGAATAGCTGGGACTACAGGCGCCCGTCACTACTCCCAGCTAATTTTTTTGTATTTTAGTAGAGACGGGGTTTCACCATGTTGGCCAGGATGGTCTCAATCTCTTGACCTCGTGATCCCTCAGCCTTGGCCTCCCAAAATGCTGGGATTACAGGTGTCAGCCACCACGCCTGGCCCTGTAGCTGCGGTTATAATGTTAATAAGTAAAACTTCAAATAGCCTATAGGCTAGAATAGTAAACCTGGTGCCCTGATAATCAGGATTTAAATAATGAGGCTTTGCTTATAATTGGATTAATAACCTCTAAATTAAACCTTAGTTTGATTGGTTTCCAGATATGTTTCTGTCTTTTAAAAAATGCTAGTTATTTCATTGCTTGCAGGTTTTATGAGCATATGCCAAGAACTTTTAAAATAGATGTTACAGCAGCAATACCTATCTACTCTGTTAGCAGTTACACTTCAATAAAGCTGAGAAAAAAGTTAAAATTAAATTCATTTTAGCAATGAATTTAATTTTAATGATTATTAATTAGATCTAATTAATAAATAGCAAACACATTAAAAAAAGGAGATTGAAAACATGTTGCATCAGTATAAAATATAGTGGGTATGCTCATATATGTAAATTCAATAAGTCTTGCAAAAACTTTTCACTCAGTAGTCATTTGTGTTTTTAGATCTGTTTAATTTCATGAGAATAAGTTTGCTTTTTGCCTGGAGATCACATTGAAAGCAGGTTGAATTAGGATTATACAAGAGTTTTGAATGCCATGCTAAGCTTCATAGCAATGATTCTCAGGCTTGTTTTCTCTACAACATTTCAGTGCACAGTGTTTAACATCTATTTTTCCAGGTAGTACTTTGAGTCATATGTCTATTGAGAAGGGCAAGGGGCATGCAGGCTTTTGGATTAGGGGATGGACAGTGACAGGATCAAGTGTGTATTGGCGGAAAGAGAGATGAGAATAAGGAAGACTAATAAAGCTTTTACCTCAGCCTGAAAGATCACAGCCTGAACTATAGTAGTGGTAACTACTATAGTTGGAAAATAGATATTTCTAACTTAGGGAACTTGATGATGACATTTAAAGAGCAAAATGTAAAGGGCCTAATTTTCCTAAATTCTGACCATTTTACAATCAGATTTTCCTTACTATCACATTTAACTTATTGGTAAGTGAATCAGAGCATTGTACTGATTAAACATTAGTTGTGATATTTAACATTAAAATAATGAAATTTGTACAGAGGTGATTTTTATTTGTTTTTGATATTAAGAAATCTGAAAAACTTTGAATAGGTAGTAAAAGATGGTGAATTCTTAGAGCTTTACCTCAGCATGTGTACTTTTTTTTTTTTTTTTGAGACGGAGTTTCGCTCTTGTTACCCAGGCTGGAGTGCAATGGCGCGATCTCGGCTCAGCGCAACCTCCGCCTCCTGGGTTCAGGCAATTCTCCTGCCTCAGCCTCCTGAGTAGCTGGGATTACAGGCACACGCCACCATGCCCAGCTGATTTTTTGTATTTTTTTTAATTTCTTTTTTGAGACGGAGTTTCACTCATGCTACCCAGGCTGGAGTGCAATGGCGCGATCTCGGCTCACCGCAACCTCCGCCTCCTGGGTTCAGGCAATTCCCCTGCCTCAGCCTCCTGAGTAGCTGGGATTACAGGCACGCACCACCATGCCCAGCTAATTTTTTGTATTTTTAGTAAAGACGGGGTTTCACCATGTTGACCAGGATGGTCTCGATCTCTTGACCTCGTGATCCACCCGCCTCGGCCTCCCAAAGCATGTGTACTTTTAATATTTTCCTTTCCAGAAATCTAGGATACCTGACACTGGACCTTTGGGAAATTCATCATTATTCATACATTTTGATGGAATATAATATGTTTATTTTCTCTAAATTATAGTTTCATAAGTAAAAGCCACAGATTTGATTTACCTACCCTATCTTCTTTACTGATGAAGCTGAAACTACTTTGTGATAACTCTTGTCCCAGATCTTTGTGTTAATTACCTGACAAAAACCAGTAAGCCAGTGACTTCTTTTTTTTCTTCTTTACCTCTTTTTATTGACACATTTTAATTGTATGTATCTAGAGAGTAAAATTTGATGTTTTGATACATACATACATTGTATAATGGTCAAGTCAGGGTATTTAGTATATCCTTCCCTCATGAATGTATCCTTTCTTCCTGGTAAGAACGTTACAAATCATCTAGTTATTTTGTAATAAGTAATAAATTACACCTTACTATTAACTATCTTTACCCTACTGTGCAATAGGACACCAGAACTTATTCCTCCTAATTGTAACTTCATACCCTTTTACCAACCCCCCCGCCGATTCTCCCATCCTCTCTCCCTTCCCTAGTCTCTGATAACCACTGTTCTACTCTCTGCTTCTATGATAGCAACTCTTTAAAAAAAAAAAAAATTAGATTCCAGATATTAGTGAGATCAAGCAGTATTTGTCTTTTTGCGACAGGCTTGTTTCACTTAACATGATGTCTTCCGAGTCTGTCCATGTTGTTGCAAATGACAGGATTTCATTTAATTTTGTGGCTGTATTAATAGTATTCCATACTATGCATCAAAAATTGTTATATACACCAAATTTATTTTTATTTTTTAAATTTTTATCTATTTTATTTTATTTTATTTTATTTTTTTATTGCATTTTAGGTTTTGAGGTACATGTGAAGAACATGCAAGAATGTTGCATAGGTACACACATGACAGTGTGATTTGCTGCCTTCCTCCCCATCACCTATATCTGGCATTTCTCCCTATGCTATCTCTCCCCAACTCCCCACCCCCACTGTCCCTCCCCATTTCCCCCTGACAGACCCCAGTGTGTGATGCTCCCCTCCCTGTGTCCATGTGTTCTCATTGTTCAATACCCGCCTATGAGTGAGAACATGCGGTATACAGCAAATTTTTTAATCCATTGATTCATTGTTGGACATTTGGGTAGATTCCATATTTTGGCTATTGTAAATAGTGCTGAATAAACATGGGAGCGCAGGCATCTCTTTGACATTGATTGTATTCCTTTGGCTATAGACCCAGTAGTGGGATTTCTGGATCATATGGTAGTTCTGTTTTTAATTTTTTGAAGAATTTCCATACTGTTTTCCATAGTGGCTATACTGATTTACATTCCTACCAGCAGTGTGTAAGTGTTCCTTTTTCTCCACATGCTTGTCAAGTTTTGTTATCCCTTGTCTTTTTAATAATAGCCACCCCAACTGGAATTAGGTAGTATCTCATTGTGGTTTTGATTTGTATCTCCCTGATGATTAGTGATATTGAGCATTTTTTTTTGTTTACCTGTTGGCCATTTGTGTGTCTTCATTTGAAATATGTCTATTAAGTTATTTTGTCCATTTAAAAAATTGGGATATTGCTGTTCTTTATATATTCTGATATTAAGCACCTATCAGATGTATAGTTTGCAAATGTTTTCTTATATTTTGAAGGTCGTCTCTTTACTTTTTTTTTTTTTTTTTGCTGTGCAAAGCTTTTCAATTTGATGTAATCTCATTTGCCTCTTTTTGCTTTTGTTGGCTGTGATTTTGAGATCCTATTTAAAAAATCCTTGCCCAGTCCAATGTCATAGTGTTTCGTCTATGTTTTGTTCTGGCAGTGTAATAATTTCAGTTTTACATTAAAGTCTTTAATCCATTTTGAGTTAATTTTTTTATATGATGAGAGGTAGGAGTCTGGTCTCTGCAAGTGGATATCCAATTTCCCAGCACCACCATTTATTGAACAGACTGTCTTTTCCCCAGTGTGTGGTTCTTGGCACCTTTGTCAAGAATTAGTTGGTTGTAGGTGCATGAATTTATTTATGGTCTCTTCATTGTGTTCCATTAGTCCATGTGTCTTTTATGTCAGTACCATGCTTTCTCAGTTACTGTAGCTTTGTAGTATGTTTTAAAATCAGGTGATGTGATGCTTTTAGGTTTGTTCTTTTTGCTCAGTATTGTTTTGGCTATTAGGGGTCTTTCTTGGCTCCATTCGAATTTGGATGGTAGGGTATTTTGCTAAAAATATATTTTGCTAGACATTGCACTACGTCTATAGATTGCTTTGGGTAGTATGGCCATTTTAACAATATTACTTCTACCAATCCATGAGCATGGGATCTTTCCATTAGTTTGTGTCATCTTAATTTTTTTCATCAATATATTATAGTTTTCAGTGTAGAGATCATTTACCTTTTTTGTTAACTTTATTTCTAGTTATCTTATTTTTTTGTAGCTGTTGTAAATGGAATTATTTTCTTGATTTCTTTTTCAGATAGTTCACTTATTAGCATATAGAAATGCTGCTGACTTTTGTGTATTGATTTTTTATCCTGTGACTTTACTGAATTTATTAGTTCCAACAGTTTTTTGGTGGAGTCTTTAGGGTTTTCTCTGTATAAGATTATGTCATCTGCAAACAAGGACAGTTTTACATCTCCTTTACAATTTGGATGCCTTTTATTTCTTTCTCTTGCCTAATTGCTTTGGATACGATTTCTTGTATGCAGTATATCATAGACCGAATAAAGAGAGATCAACAACTTTTTTTATACATGTGTTCAATATTGAGGATGTTCTTTTGTCCTTTATTTTACTAATTGTCTCAGTTTCCTTTCTTACAATGAGTTTGTTCAGAATAAGGGAATGCATGGTAGGACAGAGTGGTGGTTAAAAGTGTAGACTCAGGAGTCAGAAGCCTCCTTTTCCAAACTAGTACCATTGCTGATTATTATTAACTGTGGATTACTGTTCTAACCTTGAAAAATTTTCTTACCTTCTTTAAAATAAGGCTTTCTTGCTTAAAAGGTGGAATAATAAGAGTACTTCTTTTAAGAGAATAGTTGTTAGAATTAAATAATGCGTGTATTGTACCTGCTATATAAAAGCTTGAATGATTGATAGCTATTATTTAATTATTGTGTTCATTATAATAAGTTGTGTTAGTCCTCAATTTTTTTTTCCTAATTTGAATAAGAATGGTGACTTTCTTGGGTCATACAAATGCATACAAATGCATTGCCTTTGTAAAGTAAGATTTATTTGTATTTCTCCTATGGAGAGTTTTTTTTATGGCATCTCCTATTTTTATTCCTGGGGTTTCTTTTTTGTCATAGAGCCTATACAGGCTCCCGTCTCTAGGAAGCAGAAGCCCAAGTGCCTGGGCTGTGGGAGAAGCATAATTCAAAATCACTGTATTTGGAAAGACTGAGTTGCAAGACAAGTAAACCACTAATTGAATTGTCATTCTAAAAGAGCTAAGGCAGAGAGTGGGAAACCACATTAGAGTTGTTAGGTTTGAAACAGAGAAGTACAATCCTTAAGCAATTTTCTGAGCCAGAACGAATATCTGAAGTCACTTTTACTAGAGCATTTAATGCTTCAAATATATGCTGTTAACACTTTCAGTTATCTTTTTTCATATGGTTATTTGTATTCCTAGCAAACTTTTAAAAGGGATCTACAGAAATAGAGACCCCTTTATGTTAAGCATGATATTGTCAAAATAGTATAAAAAGCTTAAAATGTTTACTTAATAAAATTTATAGTTACTTATGTTGTAGTTCTCTAACAGAAACATGAGTTTTCTCTTCAACTCTTCCTACTTCATGGCAGTTTTTCCTCATTTCTTTTTTAGGTTTAGAAACATCAACTGGAATCAATTTGCATTTGAAAATTAGATCAACACAGAGATTGATATTGTGGAACGACTAGCAAACAAGCAATGTCATCTAACGAACAAGAAAGGCTCTTGTGTTATAATGGGGAAGTCCTTGTTTTCCAGTTGTCTAACGGAAATTTTGCAGATAAAGAACCTACAAAAACACCCGTATTACATGTCAGAAGAATGGTATTTGACAGAGGAACAAATGTATTTGTTCAGAAGTCCACTGGACTTTTTACCATGAAGGAAGAAAACTCTCATTTAAAAATCATGTGTTGTGACTATGTGTCAGATTTCAGAACTGGAATTAATCTCCCTCACATTGTGATACAAAACAGTAAAAAGAATAATGTTTTTGAATACTTTTTACTAATTCTTCACAGTACCAATAAATTTGAAATGTGTTTGAGTTTTAACCTGGGCTATGAGATTAAGGATAGCCTAAGGGTCCTTAATGGCCCTTTAATTTTGTGGAGGCATGTCAAAACATTCCTCTTTATCTCTTCTCAAACTAGCAAAGTTATTAGTGTGTTAGGTAACCTTTCCTCTATTCAGTGGGCAGGGGAGATTGAAAATTTAGGTATGGTTTTATTGGGACTAAAGGAATGTTATTTATCTGAGGAAGAATGTACTCAGGAGCCTTCAAAATCAGATTATGCAATTTGGAATACCAAATTTTGTGTATATTCTCTTGAAAGTCAAGAAGTAATAAGTGATACATACATTATTCCTCCTGCTTATAGCAGTGTGGTGACTTGTATACATATCTGTGCAACTGAGATCATCAACAACCAGTTAAGAATATCTCTTATCGCCCTTACCCGAAAGAATCAGCTGATTTCATTTCAGAATGGAACTCCTAAAAGTGTGTGCCAGCTTCCATTTGGAGATCCTTGTGCAGTTCAACTTATGGATTCGGGTGGAGGAAACCTCTTTTTCATTGTATCCTTTAGGTCCAATAATGCTTGTGCTGTATGGAAAGAGAACTTTCAGGTATAATACTTATTGCCATAATAATTCTGTTGGTGGTCTCAGATGTTTGAAACATTTCTATACTTCGTAGAGTTCCTTCTGGAGTCGTATTATCTAAGTCAATTTTCAGTTCTGTACTTGATGTATATTACATTGTTCTTTTTTCTTAAAGTTGATATAACATGCTGGTGTTTTTTTTGTCTTGCCATTTTGAGTCATAAAACCTTTGAGTTGTTTGGAAATATGTAAATACATATGTAACTATAATTAAGTATTTATTTGTTTTATGGTGTAACTTTCTAATTTTTATTAATATGATAGTAGATGTGTATTTTTACTTAGTATAAGATTATTAATGATTTGACTAGATAGATAAGCCTTCCTGGAAAATTCAAATCGATTTTTCAACATTCATTCATTCATTCAGAGACAGGATCTCACTCTGTCACCCAGGCTGGAGAACAGTGGTGTGATCTCAGTTCACTGCAGCCTCTGCCTTCCAGGTTCAAGTGATTCCCTTGCCTCAGCCTCCCGAGTAACTGGGATTACAGGCATGTGCCACCACGCCTGGCTAATTTTTGTATTTTTAGTAGAGATGGGGTTTCACCATGTTAGCCAAGTTGGTCTCTAACTCCTGGCCTCAAGTTATCCACCTGCCTTGGCCTCCCAAAGTGCTGGGATCACAGGCCTGAGCCACCATGCCTGGCCAACTTTTTAAACATTAATAATTATGTATTTAAGTTTACTTCTTGCTTCTGGCTTATTTCTGAAAGTGAAATATAGAAAAATTCCTTGAAATCTATTACTGTTTCTGGAGAGACAAATAATTTGTTCTCCAGAGACATGTGGTAAGCATTACTTTTTCTAAAAACTTACCCAGAGAACTTTAATTATGTTATCTTTTGAAACGCAGAACTGACTTTTCAGCAAGTATTCACTTTTAATGTAAGGTTTGGAAATTGCTCTAAAATATTCACTAGTATTGAGTGTTAAATAACAGGTAAAAAGGCACAGAAAATCAATAGGAAATTAGAGGTTTGTAACTGCGTGTCGCTACCAATAATATTTCTCTGATTCTGCTTTTTTTGGTAACGTTACATCCTCCTGGCTTAAAATGTATTTAGTTATGTGATTTGAAGTGTTTATGAATTAAGATAAATCATCATTGCTAGTTAGAAATGTCTCTTCCAAAACTAGTACACTATGCAATTTTTAGTTTTTGTGCTACTTGGGAGAAAAAAGCAGATATTGCCTTATTTTGTGTGCCCTGTCCATTTAATTAGAAGCTTTATATGGAATATTGTTAAATGTTTTAGAAAGTTTGAAATTCATTTTTAAATGTGAATCGTTATGGTTTATGTGTCGGGAGAAGGAGTGTCGAGTTAGAATTGTGAATCTGTCTTTGCCTTACCAAGTACTTTTATATTAATAGGAATTATTTTGAATCTCTATAATACATATTTATCCTCTATAATACATAGAGAACACAAAAGGAAAATAATTTGAAAGCTATCCTATTTTATTTTGAAAAGCAGTCTTTTAAAAGCACATTATACATTTATTTGAAAGTTATTTGGAATTGTCTTTCTGTTCTCTTTTCCTTTAAAGAAATGGTAGGGGAAAAACATCTGGTATGCCCTATAGTCTTTTTACTGTGGTTAAGGTAACATAATAGAAAGAACACATTTAACCTGGGTTTGAATCCTAACTGAGCCCCACTTACTGGTGTTACCTTAAGGAATGTAATTCTTGTGAACCCATTTTCCTCCTTTATGAAATTTGGGATCATCCTGACTCAGAGGGGAGAATTAAGTCTGATAACATTATAAAGTATCTTGCACAGAGCTTGGCACACAGGAGGAACTCAGTAAGTAGTAGCAATTACTATGTTAGACAAAGGGCAGGGCTGTCATCAGTTACTTTCTCCTACTCAGGATCCCCTGTTCACCTAGATAAGGTAAAAACAATTCCTTTATATGTCATTTATTGTAGTCCTCACTCCCTTGAAGTGGGTCCCCTCCTTGGACTCTGGAAAGCTCTGCCACTAACATGTTACCCAAGGCAGGAGACTACATTATTACCTGTAGGTGGACCTATAACTGCTGCTTCCCTGACCTGAAGTTGTGTCCTAGGGCACTCTCTCTACAGTGTACCACTATCTTTTCCACACATTACTTACCTGAGTCCCTACTGACTTACTCCCTAAGTTGCTTCTTGAGGAATTCTGTACTTCTAACCTGCTCTCAAATGTCCTGTTTTAAAAGCTCTGGAATTACACCCTGATATCTACAAGTAAGTGCTTTGAAGTTGCCTCTAACCTTGCCAGTTTGGGCATATTCAGGTCCTGCTTCTATCTTGGCGTTACATTTATACTCAACTTCTTAAAAAAAAGAAATATAGTTTAAGGTAAAGTATTCAGTTACTTTTAAAACAGAAACAAGGCTGGGCATGATGGCTCACACCTGTAATCCCAACACTTGAGGCAGCCGAGGCAGGCGGATCACTTGAGGCCAAGAGTTCAAGACCAGCTTGGCCAACTAACATGGTGCACGCCTGTAGTCCTAGCTACTCGGGAAGCTGAGGCATGAGAATCGCTTGAACTTGGGAGATGGAGGTTGCAGTGAGCTGAGATCACCCCACTATACTCCAGCTTGGTCCACAGAGTAAGATCTGTTTCAAAATAATAATAATAAATTTAAAAAACAAAAGCTAAGAATCTAGAAATAAAAAGGGAGTAGAAATAATTATGCCAAAAAAACCTAGGTTAAGAGAAGTAATTACATTTGAACAATTACATTTAGTTTTAGCAGTTAAGACAAAAAAGTAAATATGGTAGGTTTTACAACTGAATGGAACATACTACAAGGTAAAATTTTTTTCTGACGTTTAAGTTCTGAGAATTTACTGTTTGTGGTATTTTGTAAAAGATGTTGAGCAATAAGATGAATACCTTATTAAATAATAAGGTGGGTCTTTGATAGCAGTTTTCCCCCCAAATAGCAATAGAACCAGTCTGCTTTTGGATAGGCTATGGATTTATCCATCCATCTATCCTTTTACTACCTCATTCTGAGAAGGAATTTAGACAGGTTACAAAGGTTGGTAAACTATAAACAAGCAAAAATTAAATAATGAAAAGCAAGGTTAGTGTGTTCCCAGATTAACACTTGATCAAAGCCCAAGGTGTGATGTTTAATGTGGTAATAGGACTTGAAACAGAGCTGAATCTAGAGGAATACATGATTAGCTTTTTTCTTCTTAGGATTTCTCTCTTGAGCAGAAATTTTCTCTGCAAGTTTCGGCAAGAATCTATGTGGCAGGCATTTCAAATTGAGGTCGTTGGCTGGGTGTGGTGGCCCACGTTTGTAATCTCAGTGCTTTGGGAGGCCAATGTAGGAGAATTGCTTAAGGCCTGGAGTTTGACACCAGTCTGGGCTACATAGTGAGACCCCCATGTGTACAAAAAATAAAAAAATTAGCTGGGCATGGTGGCATATGCCTGTATTCCCAGCTGCTTTGGAGGTTGAGGTGGGAGGATTGCTAGAGCCCAGGAGTTCAAGGCTGTAGTGAGCTGTTATAATGCCACTGCACTCCAACTTGGGTGACAGAATGGGACCCTGTCTCAAAAAATCCATCTGTCAATAAAATTGAGGTCATTATCAGGTATACCTGAACATAGCTATTGGTGTGTTGTCGATAGAGCTTAATGTGTTCTGGTGCTGTGCTGTCTTATATGGTAGCCACTATCCAGATGTAGTTATTCAGCATTTGAAATGTGGCTAGTCAGAATTAAAACGTGTTGTAAATGTCAAGCATCAAATTTCAAAGATTTAATAGATATGGTAACATCTCTCAATTTTTAAATGATTACATTGAATTGAAATGACAATATTTTAGATATATTTTGTTAAATATATTAAAATTTCATCTTTTCATTGCTATCAGAAAATTTAAAATTACATGCCTTATATTTGGGGCTCACTTACCATTCTATTGGATGGTACTATTCTACAGCTATAGATTGCAAATATATGTGTGCACACATGCATGCATAGCTCTGTGCTGTTTCCATGCCAAACACATTCTTATTACTAATGTCTCTTCCCATAGTCCATTATATACCATGATACTTGTGGGAGAAGGGAGGATATGGCTTTACAAATAAGCTGTTTCTCTGTACAAGCGAATAATCAGCTTTGGAAATTAGCCTTATAGGGCAAGGTTGATATTTGGGCATCTGGATAATGTATCTGCTCCTGGAATTCTGAGTAGGGGTTTTAGCTCTTTTGTCTCAGGGAGAAGGGAGATTTGATCCTCATGGTGTTAGTTTTCCTTGAAACCAATCTATATGTACCTTTAAGAAGTTGCCCTCTATTTTAAATCTGAGGTCTCAGGTTCTGATATAAACTGATCAAATCATTCCATGAGGCTAGGATGGTTCTGGCTGTCCCACTCTTAGGACTCCTCACCTGTGTACCCGATATTAGCTATATTCCCCTCCACATCCACACCAGGGTTTAACGTTTTAAGCTCATCTGGACTCTATTATAGGTTATTTTGCATTAAGAGCTCTTAAGGTGTCTTTTAGTACTGTCTGGTTACCTAATGTAACTGAATTCCTTGAGTAATTTGATCATAAATATATATCCAGTAAGACTTATGGGAATGAGAGTCATCCTTAAATTAGCTGTGTGAAAGAATCTTCACTAAAGTTTGACGCATGATAAATGTTAGCATTTCCAAAAGATTTAGTCATGAAATGTATTAGAATTTATAAATAGATGACAATTAAATTTTAAATATAGAAATCAAGAACATGACAGTCCCTGGACAAACATGAATAAAATCTTAAATCTACGTACCTTGCTATTTATAAAGTTGTCATAACTCCTTATATTTTCTCATCTCCTAACATCTTTATTTTATTTCAGTTTTTACTATTTTCATTACCTATTTATAAGATCGAATTTTACAAATGAAAACTCCATGAAACAAAAAGACTTAATTTGTTTATTTCACATTTGATTTTTTCTTGTCTATTCCTCCTATAATGATCCATTTCTTTTAGGTTGCTGCTAAGTGGGAAAAAGTTAGCTTGGTATTGATAGATGACTTTATTGGAAGTGGAACTGAACAAGTACTCCTACTTTTTAAGGACGACTTGAACTCAGATTACCTGACTTCATTTAAAATAACAGATCTTAGAAACATAAACTATTCGGTAAGGTCTATTTACTTATTATATGTTATTTTAAGAACCATTTTAGAAAATTTAAGTGCTCAAAAGCTTTGACCTATCATTTAAATATTGGTGATTTTACACTTAAAGTAAATTTTTGAACTTTAAAAATACATAGATTGAAACTTTTAAATATATACATTGAATCTTTTTTCAACAAATGTTATACAAATTGACCATGCTTTTCGTATAAATTTGAATTATAGTATATCTGGTGCTCACTTAAGTGACAGTTATACTGTAAATTAACTTTATTGTTGCTTCTGAAAATCACATTTTGTACCAATAAATATAATATTGGATTAAATAAGGAATAAAATAAAGGAAAACTGCTTTAGTAAAGGAAGTAACAGCTCACAATATCTTGAGATCTTGGACATATGGGAAATTATGACTTTGAAGTTTTTAGATCAATATGAAATCTCTCTAAGCCTCAGGTTTTTCATTTGTAAAATGAGCATAATTTTTATTTTCTCCAGTTATGGGATTTTAGGATTTTATAAAAAGCCAGTGAGAACCCAGGAATTCAAGGCTGCAGTGAGCTATGGTTATTTTGTTGCACTTCAACCTGGGTGATGGAACAAGACACTGTCTCTTAATTAAATAAATAAGAAAAAGTTTACTCTTTAAAATGAAAGCTAATCAGCTGATACTGTGTAAAGCAGTACATAAATGTTAGGTGATAGTATTAGGAATCATAATACTTTTTGTCTAGTTACAAGAAGATGATGGGGGAAATATATAGTTTGCCTTTTTTTTTTTTTTTTTTTTTTTTTGATGGAGTTTCACTCTGTCGCACCCAGGCTGGAGTGCAGTGGTGCGATTTGTCGGCTCACTGCAACCTCTGCCTCCTGGGTTCAAGCAGTTCTCCTGCCTCAGCCTCTCAAGGAGCTGGGATTACGGGCACCTGCCATCACGCCTGGCTAATTTTTTGTATTTTTAGGAGAGATGGGGTTTCACCATGTTGGTCAGGCTGGTCTTAAACTCCTGACCTCAGGTGATCTGCCCGCCTTGGCCTCCCAAAGTGCTGGGATTACAGATGTGAACCACTGCATCCAGCCTATAGTTTACCTTTTATAGAATAGTGTGTAACATGGGAAACTGTTCTGACCTGATATACTTTAATTGTATTTTGGTAATTTTATGAATTTTCAATTATTTCAAAATTTTAGTTTTAGTGTATTTATTTATTTATTAGAGTGAACCATCAGATTGCAATGAAGATGACATATTTGAAGATGAACAAGATAATCGTTACTTGGTGGTTCCGCCTCTGGAAGCAGGACTGAAAGTTAGTGTCTGTTTGCTTTTTTGCTTTTGCTTTTTGATTAGTGCTATTCTAAATGATGGAAAGAACATTGAAAGAAAGGTCCTTAAAGTTTAAGCAACCTGGTGCTTGGGGAAGAATGGTATTTCAAAGGATCTTTATCTTTTTGGTACCTCTGTATAAACTATTATGATATTACTTATCAATGTATCATCTAAAAATGATACCTTTTTATAGTGAGACTATATAGATTTGATAAGTCTCATGAGGGAAAATAGAAGAAACTCACTTTTGAAAACACATTCTTTCTGGGATCAGTATGCCACAGTATCTTTTTTAGAGTAGCAGTGAATATGATAAATCATAATACATTCCAGACATGAACAGTTTACTTTCATATTTTCCATAAAAAGCTCCCTTAAGGAGTTTTTTTTTTTTTTTTTCTTAATGTACCAAAGTAATGCACATTCCCTATAAAATACTAAGGCTATGCAAAGAAATGTCAAAACAAAACAAAACAACCTAATGATTGTCTGTGATTCCACTACTTCGAAATAACCAGTTTTAACACTTTGACATGTATATTTTTGAAGATTTTTAAATGAATATATGCAAATTTACATAGAAATGTGATTATAAGATGTATGTTCTTTTGTAAGCTGTTGTTTATGATATTTAAAAATATACAGAAATTTTCCAAGAATACAGTGATTATCTCTGTATCCCCACATACATTCAACTCTTGTTACTTTTAAAAATCTTATTGGCCTCATTTGATTGTGTTTGTGTGTATGTGTATGTACATTTTTGTAGAACCATTTAAAAGTTGCAAATGTTATAAAACTTCGCTCTTAGGTATTTCAGCAGGAATTTTCTAAAAATAAGGATATTCCCCTTATGTAACTATACTACCCTTAACAATGTTAGAAAATTATTAACGATCCCTTAATCTTGTTTGCTATCTTGTCTATATTCAAATGTATTTAGTTGTCACAAAATTGTTTTTATAGCTGTTTTTTTCCAGGATCCAATCAATCAAAGTTTACACTTACATTTGATTATATCTCTTATTGGTCTTTTTATCTAGAGTAATTTCCCCTCCCCACTTTTAAAAATTGCACTGAAGAGGGGGGCCATGCTAATTGTATCCTCCCTTTCGGATTTGTCTCTTTTCTTGCTGTATTATTTTTTTCCTCTTTAGGGTTGGAAAACTTTTTCTGGAAAGGGCCAGGTGGCAAATATTTATACTTTGCAGGTTGTTTTAAAATTATTTTGCAACTATGTCATTATTAGAGTGAGTTCACTTTAATAAATGCTTGTTGAACACATATTAGACATGAATGTGAGCAGTAGATAAATAAAACATCATAACAGATACAGGTAGTGCTTGATTTACGATGACGGTCGGGACCGCGGACCGGTTGTAACACGATTTGGCCGTAAGTTGAGTAGGCTATATGTACAGTTGAAATGGTGCACGCAGAGATGGTAGTGCTGCCGGAAGCTGGTCCGCACTGTCGTACGCCCAGCTGGGCAACGTTTTCGCTGCCAGACGCAGAGCAGTCGTGGCTAGCGGTTGTGGTCTTAAAGTCGAATGGTCGTAAGTTGCATAGGTCGTAAGTCGATCAATACCTGTATAGAACCATGAAAGAAGACTTTGATCTATTCAAAATTTTTGTACCCTGAACAAAGTAAAAGTAATAAAAAGACAAATTATGAAAAAAGAAATTGTAATACTTGACAAAATATTGATTTTCTTGATATAAATGTGCATTCTTATACTGTATTGTATTGTTGTGAATGTATAGTGGCCCAACCTTCTCAGAGGAAAAGTTATTATAGTTATTTAAATATAAATTACTTATATCTTTTTACTCTTGCAGTTTCACTTCTAGAAATTTCTAAGGATGGAGATGATTGTTCAAGAATGTTTACGTAGTATTTATAAACTACAGTATTGGTACAAATCTAAATATCATTAGGAGTATGATAAGAAAATTGTGATATGTCTGAGCCATGGAATACTATGTAGCTGTCAAAAAGAATAATTTATATTTTTATGCTGATTTAGAAATGATGCCAAAGTATGAAAGCATGATGTTATGAAAGGTTTAATTTATGAAGCAGGATCAACTCTCCTGATTAAAACTGAAAATGATAGATGAAGTCTCCTTTAAAGGCCTTCTTAGAAGCTTCAAAAAGCGGACACTATAAGGATAAATTATCAAATCAAACTTTCAAAGCTGGAGCCCAGAGAGATAAGCAGAACACTGATGCTACTTTTGCCCTGGGAGCATGTGTATTAAACTTAAATTGGTGGTGCCCCAGGCATCTGACAAAAACAAACAGAAAATCCTCTCTGGAAACATACATTCATTCTAGCCCTCATAAATCTCACAAGTAATTTTTCAAAGAAAATGAGCTGTCCACAGAATAAGCACATAAACAAGGCATCATGAGTAATTATTCACATAAAATAACCAAACAGCATTTCTTTCAAGCAAAAACACACTGAAATAAAAAAAACTCAATAGGTGACTTTAACAGTTAACTCAAAAAGATGCAAGAGATACAGAGCAAATTAGTGAACCAGAATATATGAGAAAAATCCAGAATGTAGCACAGAGTCAAAGAAAATATGAAAGGCTTTAAACAACGTTAAGGGAAGGAAAGGAGAAATGGAGGTGGTAGATAAGAGATAGTTGAATATCCATTTTGTTTCAAGTATCCACATGTTCACAGTAACTTTCAATATATATAATAAAGTAATAAATGCTGGAAGGCCTTGTAGAGATGAACAAGTCTACCTTCCCACCATTTTGCACATGATGTAACAAATAGCCAGAAAGGTTAAGTGACTTGCAGAGGTAGACCTAGAGTCCATTTCACTGTTCTTTCTCCCCTGAAATTTGTGTTCCAGTCCGTTACTGGAAGGGGAAATGAGGAGACCAGGACCTTAGAGAAACTTGTACGCATGTACACAGATGTTCATAGCAGCTATTTTTTGTAACACTGCACAACTGAGCATGACCCAAATACCCAAGAACTGGAGAATGGAGAAGTAAATAGTGGTAGTCATATGATGGAATACTGTAGAGCAATGGAGGAAATGAACTACAGCTACTAGTGACAACATGGGCAACTCTAAAACCTGATACATGCAGAACAATTCCATTTATAAAAGTTTCAGAAGCAAAACACACAAAAAAACTTATGGTACTCCTTAAGAATTCATGCAAAGGTGGTAAAATTATGAAGACAGGCAAGGAATTATCTTAAAAGGCCAAGATAGTATTGACTCCAGGGGAGAAAGGGCAATTGTGATTGTGGAAGACCCCTGTGCAGCTCCTGGAGTGCTACTTTTTGATTTGGGTGGAGTTACGTGGCTGTCGGCCTCATTATTAGTCTGTAAAATGTTATTTTGTACTCTACATTCTTCTGCATGTATGATAGAGATCACAATAAAGAAGAAAAAAGCAAGGTTCAGTGTCATGCAGTATAATATAATATGCTCCTATATTTGGTTTTGGGTGGATTTTTGTTTGTGAAGAGGAAAAAGCATTCTTTAAGATGCACATGGAAAAGTTCTCGGAGGGTACACAATCTATTGGTTGTGCAAATGGCATTGAGCATCTAGGAAGAGAAGGTGAGGTGTATATTCACATCGTTTAAATTTCTTACCATGTGTCTAATTTATTTTTGTAACTTTATAGCAAAACTTTACAACCAAGATTATTTAACTGCTCTACTAAATCACTATATTGTCCTGGAGTAAGGGACATGTTAAGGAGGAAGAGTGAACACTGATAATTTTTGAGAGTGCAGTTCAACCTGCCAACATATAGTTTTTTCTTCTACTCCTCACCCCTCCGGTAGCTCAGTTGTGGCTACATACCTTTGATGGGTACATCTGCCTCCCCGCAAATAACAAATTACTGAGCGAATGAGTGATGGAGTGAGAATTATGTGCAGCCCACAGAACTAGGTCAACATAAAAAGTTTTAAAATATTAGCTAGACACTTTACATACTTTGTGCAGTAAGGTAAGACATAAGAATAATTCAGTCTTTACTCTCCAATTTCTATTCATTGATTAAAAGAAAAAGAATTTATCTGCCTTGAAATGTAATTTAAAAGAAAAGAATCCCAAAAAGTGATGCTTTTTTTTTTTTTTTTTTTTTTGGGACGGGGTTTCCCCTTTTTTCCCCAGGCTGGAGGGCAATGGCGCGATATCGGCTCACCACAACCTCCGCCTCCTGGGTTGAGGCAATTCTCCTGCCTCAACCTCCTGAGCAGCTGGGATTACAGGCACGCGCCACCATGCCCAGCTAATGTTTTGTATTTTTAGTAGAGGCAGGGTTTCACCATGTTGACCAGGATGATCTCGATCTCTTGACCTCGTGATCCACCTGCCTCGGCCTCCCAAAGTGCTGGGATTACAGGCTTGAGCCACCGCGCCCGGCCACATTTTGTTTTTTAAATGTAGGAAAATATGTTTTATTAAAAGCCAGATTAATACTTAAACAGTCTCAGATATCTACCTGAAATGAAACAACTTCTATCAGTTCATTGACATGACTCTTTAAATTTTCAGTAGCAAAATATATTTTGTGAATGTTTCATCCTTAGTGCTGAAATCTATTTATCCGGTATCATAAAAGGAATGGCTTGCTGTATACCCAGTTCAGAGCCAAATTGTTATTTTTTTCAGTAGTTTTCAGTAGAGTTGACTCTAGCACTGAGTTTGTTAACACAAAAATATACATGACAGTTTGGGGGCTATTAATTTTATTTTACAATTTTGCTGTAAAGATTACATGAACAGAAAATTTCAAACAGTATCAGATTAAAAGTGATAATTTCTATTCATTACGATGTCTTTGCTTATGTGGATGCCTTGTTTTTGAAGCAGAAATTATTTCAACAAGGAAAACAGTTATTTTATATTAGGTGGGTGTATTGGTAGGCCTTGAGTTTTATTCACATTGATTCAAAGTTACTTAATAACTCACTCGTGAAACATGCTATTATATTGCCACTCTCTCAATTTGATATATAAACTCTATGTTGCAGTTCTTTTCTATATTTTCCTTTGAAAGAATGTACATTTTTTGAGTTTAGAGACTTAAAATCTATAAACACAACAATTTTGCTCTGAGAAGCATTCTACTTTCTATAGAAAAATGAATTGATAAGCACATTTGGAGAAAGTGCTTCCTGAATTAATGGTATGTCCGGCTTCATTTGAAATCATGTTTCTTGCAACTGTTTTTTTTTCTTTCTACTTTACAGGTTGGTTTTTCTTCTTTACGGGAATTACGGCAGCATCTCTTGCTTAAGGAAAAAATTATTTCAAAATCTTACAAAGCTTTAATAAACCTGGTTCAAGGAAAAGATGATAATACATCAAGTGCAAAGGAGGTAAAAGTAATCATATGACCATTTTTATAATTTTATGAATTGAAAATCTGTAAGCTATTGAAGAGTTATATAAATTAAAATATTAGAATACATTAGAAAATGCTGCTCAGTGTATCAAGAAAAAAAGTAGCAGAGGTTATAATGGTGGACTTCTATGACATTGAAAAAATTTGATTAAGGAGCCAATATTTTATTGGTTTATATGTAATTCTGTAGCAAATTAAAATTTCAGTTATCAGGAACCTTGGGGAACAAGTCATTTTGTTAACAGTAAATTTAACTGTTAAACTTTTTTACTTGTATTGTTTGGATAGAAATTACTCATAGATGAATTATGTATTTCCTGACTTATTTTTATTTTTATTTATTTATTTTTGAGATGGAGTCTCGCTTTGTTGCTCAGGCTGGAGTGCAGTGGTGTGATCTTGGCTCATTGCAACCTCCACCTCCCTGGTTCAAGCAAGTCCCCTGCCTCAGGTTCCCAAGTAGCTGGGATTACAGGTGCACACCACCACTCCTGGCTAATTTTTTTTTTGCATTTTTGGTAGAGACAAGGTTTCACCATGTTGGTCAGGCTGGTCTAGAACCCCTGACCTTGTGATCTGCCCACCTTGGCCTCCCAAAATGCTGGGATTACAGTTGTGAGCCATTGCACCCGGTTTCCTGACTTCTTAAATACAATATACTGAGTATTATTTAACTTTGTATTGGTGATGACATCATTTTATTATTAATATAATGATTGATATTTTAGTCTGTTGCATTGTTTCTTTCTAAGGATATTTTTTCCTCGAGTAAATATTCCTACAGTGCTGTGGGTTTTTTTAGTTCTTCTATCTGCTTTTCATAATTTTAATCTCTTCTTCCTTGTGGCTGACCATCATAAGAACCTCCTCTGGTCCCTTATGTGGTAACTTACACCAGTACATTAATGTAGGAAGTTAGCAAAAACTGCTGAAACTTCATAAAAATAAGACATGCATATTAATTTCATACAGAGAAAGACACAGCATAGCAGCATTATAAGTAAATCAATAAGAGCTGGACTAATGTTGCATTTTATTCCCTCCAGTCACTGTAGTGCCTAGCTCTGACTTCCTTCTGGATTACGCATTCTTGTGATGGCCTATGCTTTGTATTTGTATTTCAGTCTTAGCCATATGAGAGTTTGGGTCCAAAATATGATCTTGTTAATGTAATAAACCATAACAGAAACACATTGTGTTGCATTTCTATATTACTGTTCTAATTTCCTGGGAAACCTTATGAAAGTCATTGTTAAAATTGTTTCCCCATTTCCTTTCCTCACCTCAATGATTTTGCCAATTTTAGAAAGGGGAAGGAATGTTTAGAAATTAATATATTGAAACTACCATGTGCAAGGCCCCATTTTTGGCCTTTTACATTGTTAGTTTTAAAAGCAAACCTGGCAGGTAGTAAAAATTTCCCCAGGTTTCAGATGAATAGCCTGCTTCAGAACTCAGAGCTACTGACAGAAGTGTCACATTCCTGGGAACATATTTAGTCTCCTATTGTGTGAATGCCCCTATCTTTTTTCAGTAATTACCACATAGAGAGTCAATATAGGGTAATAGTTAAGGAAGAGCATGGGCTGTGGAACCAGTCTGCTTCAGTTCAAATCCCAGCTCTGCTACTTGCTGACTGTATGACCCTGGGCAATTTACTTAACTTCCCTGAATCTAATCGTTCTAATCTATAAAATGTAGATGATAACAATACAGACCTAGGGTACTAGGGTTATTGTGTAAGTTAAATGAATTGATACATGAACGGCATTTAGAACAGCGCCTGGTATAAAGTAAACACTCAATAGATACTACTGTTTCTAATGTTATACATCCATATGTGTGTGGAAATGAGTATGACTTGGACTTTAAGAGTAAAATTTTAGCAATAAGCTCTAAGTAGTCTAAAGTTAGTTTAATTAGTTTTATCTACACAAAAGTTTATAGTTACAGGCTTAGTGCAAGTCATTGACAAAATACAGACTGGATTATTTTCAGTATAACTGGGGTACATATTATCAGACTTTTTTTTCAAAATGGACTCCAGGTTTACCTCCTTTTTGGCTCTGTGTTGGATATCCTATCTTGCCATACCCCAGTCACGCCATGCTGCTTGATATGAATAGATAGGAAATAATATATATTTTATACATTTCATTTTAGTAAATTGTGTGTAATCTGTAATATGTTATGATTTATTTTTAAATGTTTAGGCCATAAGGCCTGGCCAAAAGCACACTTACTTTTTTATTTAAGTTTTGCTACACATGGTACGTATTTTTTAATCAGCTATTTAAACTTTTTTTTTTAATAAGGAATGTCTTGTTCCTCTTTGTGGTGAAGAAGAAAATTCTGTCCATATCTTAGATGAAAAGTTATCAGAAAGTTTTCAAGATTCAGAACAGCTAGTAGAGAAGATATGGTATCGTGTAATAGATGATAGCTTGGTTGTTGGAGTGAAAACTACATCATCTTTGCAGCTGTAAGTAAATTCCAACACGGAAACATTATCTTGATGCTCCAGAACAGTACTGTCCAATAGAAATTAATGTAATCCACATGTGCAATTTTAAATGTCCTAGAGGCCATATTTAAAAATGTAAATAGAAGCAAGAGAAATTAATTTTTGTTGTTGTTGAAACAGAATCTTACTCTGTTGCCCAGGATGGAGTGCAGTAGCGCGATCTTGGCTCACTGGCAACTTCCACCTCCTGGGATCAAGCAATTCTCATGCCACAGCCTCCCCAGTAGCTGGGATTACAGGCACGCACCATCATGCCCGGCTAGTTTTTGTATTTTGAGTAGAGATGGGGTCTCGCCATCAAACTCCTGACCTCGGCCTCTCAAAATGCTGGGACTACAGGCATGAGCCACCACGCCCAACCCCATATGTTTTATTTAACCCAATAAGTCCAAAAGATTGTCATTTTAACATGTAATTAGTATAAAAATTATTAATGAGATATTTTGCATTTATTTTTCATACTAAATTTTTAAAATTTGGTGTGTATTTTATGTGTATAACACATCACAATTCCGACTAGCCACATTTCTAAGTGCTTAATAGCCACATGTATCTAATAGCTACTCTCTTGGCTAGCACGGCTCTGGAAGTATCTCTTTTACACAAATGCACTGAGTTAATAATATGAAGAGGATGAGGTTTATGAAATTAAGATGCTGCAGTCTCAGGGTGGAGATAATCAAATAGTATAAAGAACTTTCTAATCAAAACATTTAAAAGTATTAGGGATACTTAGAGACTATTGAACAAAGTGAATAGGTAAAAATTTAGTTAAATAACAAAGTATCTTCCTCTGATAATAGACAGTTTTCTCTTTTGGGCTGCTAAAATTATGGATAGAGAAGTAATGTGCATACCATGTATATTTGCAGTCTAACAAAGAGCTTTTTAGCCAAAACAGGCTAAATACAGGCATTACAGTAACTACACCGAATTTGAGCCACAGATATACAAACAGAGAGAAACCAGGTAGTGCCTTGTAATAGATGATGGCAGTATATTTGAGCAGCCTAACACAGTACTGCTTATCTAGTGGATTTGAGATATGGATTTATTCTTTTGTTTCAGTGAATTTCTAAGCTATTTTGGGCTGGTTGATCATCTGGGTTTTTCTTCTCCTTTCTTTAATGTGGTACTCTATATTAATCAATTTGATATTATAAAACCAGTCTTGCATTCTTGTGATAAGCAGTGTGTCACTGGATTTGGTTTGCTCTCCTTTGGTCAAGAATATTTGCATCTACATTCATGAGTGAAATTGGCTTGAAATTTTCTTGAATACTTGCCTGGTTTTAGTGTGAAGGCTATACTAGTTTATCAGTGAATTGAAGAATGTTTCCTTTTTTCCTGTTCTTTGGAACAGTTTGCATAAATTTGGAATTATCTGCTCTTTGATATTTGGTTTTAGTCGCCTGGAATGCAGTAGAAATCTGGCATTTTCTTTGTAAGGTGACTTTTTTTTTTATTGCATTTTAGGTTTTGGGGTACATGTGAAGAACATACAAGATTGTTGCATAGGTACACACATGCTGCCTTCCTCCCCATCACCTATATCTGGCATTTCTCCCCATGCTATCTCTCCCCAACTCCCCACCCCCTGCTGTCCCTCCCCTATTTCCCCCTACAGACCGCAGTGTGTGATGCTTCCCTCCCTGTGTCCATGTGTTCTCATTGTTCAACACCCACCTGTGAGTGAGAACATGTGGTATTTGATTTTCTGTTCTTGTGTCAGTTTGCTGAGAATGATGGTTTCCAGATTCATCCAAGTCCCTATAAAGGACAGGAACTCATCATTTTTTATGGCTGTGTAGTATTCCATGGTGTATATGTACCACATTTTCTTTGTCCAGTCTATCATTGATGGGGATTTGGGTTGGTTCCAGGTCTTTGCTATTGTACATAGGGCTGCAATGAACATACATGTGCATGTGTCTTTATAGTAGAACGATTTATGGTTCTTTGGGTATATACCCAGTAGTGAGATTGCTGGGTCAAATGGAATTTCTATTTCTAGATCCTTGAGAAATCACCACACCGTCTTCCACAATGGTTGAACTAATTTACACTCCCACCAACTGTGTAAGAGTGTTCCTATTTCTCCACATCCTCTCCAGCAGCTGTTGTCTCCAGATTTTTTAATGGTTGCCATTCTAAGGGGCATGAGATGATATCTCAGTGTGGTTTTGATTTGCATTTCTCTAATGACCAGTGAATGATGAGCATTTTTTCATGTTTGTTGGCCTCATGTATGTCTTCTTTTGTAAAATGTCTGTTCATATCCTTTGCCCACTTTTGAATGGGGTTGTTTGCTTTTTTCTTGTATATCTCTTTTAGTTCTTTGTAGATTCTGGATATTAGCCCTTTGTCAGATCGGTAGATTGCAAAAAAATTTTCCCATTCTGTTGGTTGCCAATTCACTCTAATGATGGTTTATTTTGCTGTACAGAAGTTCTGGAGTTTAATTAGATCTCATTTGCCTATCCTGGCTTTTATTGCCATTGCTTTTGGTGTTTTAGTCATGAAGTCCTTCCTATGCTTATGTCCTGGATGGTTTTACCTACGTTTTCTTCTAGTGTTTTTATGGTGTTAGGTTTTATGTTTAAATCTTTGATCCATCTGGAGTTAATTTTAGTGTAAGGTGACAGGTAGGTGTCCAGTTTCTGCTTTCTGCACGTTGCTAGCCAGTTTTCCCAACACCATTTATTAAACTTTGAGTCCTTTCCCCATTGCTTGTTTTTGCTGGGTTTGTCAAAGATCAGATGGTTGTAAATGTGTGGTGTTTCTTCTGGGGTCTCTGTTCTGTTCCATAGGTCTATGTCTCTGTTTTGATACCAGTACCATGCTGTTTTGATTACTGTAACCTTTTAGTATAGTTTGAAGTCTGGCAGTGTGATGCCTCCGGCTTTGTTCTTTTTGCTTAGGATTGTCTTGGCTATGTGGGGTCTTTTGTGATTCCATATGAAGTTTAAAATGTTTTTTTCCAGTTCTGTGAAGAAGGTCATTGGTAGCTTGATGGAGATAGTGTAGAATCTATAGATTACTTTGGGCAGTGTGGCCATTTTCACAATACTGATTCTTCCTAACCATGAGCATGGAATGTTTCTCCATCTGTTTGTGTCCTCTCACATTTTGTTGAGCAGTGGTTTGTAGTTCTCCTTGAAGAGGTCCTTTACATCCTTTGTCAGTTATATTCCTAGGTATTTTATTCTCTTTGTAGCAATTGTGAACGGGAGTTCACTCTTGATTTGGCTGTTTGTCTGTTATTGGTATGTAGGAATGCTTGTGATTTTTGCACGTTGATTTTGTATCCTGAGACTTTGCTGAAGTTCCTTATCAGTTTGAGAAAATTTTGGGCTGAGACGATGGGGTCTTCTAGATATACAATCATGTCGCCTGCAAATAGAAACAGTTCGACTTCCTCCTTTCCTAATTGAATACCCTTTATTTCTTTTTCTTACCTGATTGCTCTTGCTAGAACGTCCAATACTATATTGAATAGGAGTGGTGAGAGAGGGCATCCCTGTCTAGTGCCTGATTTCAAAGGCAGTTCTTCCAGCTTTTGCCCGTTCAGTATGATGTTGGCTGTAGGTTTGTCATATATAGCTTTTATCATTTTATGATATGTTCCATCAATACCTAATTTATTGAGAGTTTTTTTAGCATGAAGGGCTGTTGAATTGACGGCCTTCTCTGCCTCTATTGAGATAATCATGTATTTTTTTGTCTTTGGTTCTGTTTATGTGATGGATTACATTTATGGATTTGCGTATGTTGAACCAGCCTTGCATCCCCAGGATGAAGCCTACTTGGTCGTGATGGATAAGCGTCTTGATGTGCTGTTGCAATCTGTTTGACAGTATTTTACTGAAGATTTTTGCATCTATGTTCATCATGGATATTGGCCTGAAGGTTTCCTTTTTAGTTGAGTCACTACCTGGTTTTGGTATCAGGATGATATTGGTCTTATAAAATGAGTTAGGGAGGATTCCCTCCTTTTGTATTGTTTAATATAGTTTCAGAAGGAATGGAACCAGCTCCTCTTTGTACGTCTAGTAGATTTTGGCTGTGAACCCCTCTGGACTTGGACTTTTTTTCGTTGGTAGGCTATTGATTGCTGCCTCAACTTCAGCCCTTGTTACTGGTCTTCTATTCAGGGTTCCAACTTCCTCCTGGTTTAGTCTTGGTAGAGTACAAGTGTCTAGGAATTTATCCACTTCTTCCTGGTTTACTGGTTTATGTGAGTAGAGGTTTTTGTGGTAATCTCTGATGGTAGTTTGTATTTCTGTGGTATCAGTGGTGATATCCCCTTTATTGTTCATATGTTCATCGTGGATATTGGCCTAAGATTTCCTTTTTAGTTAAGTCACTACCTGGTTTTGGTATCAGGATGATATTGGTCTTATAAAATGAGTTAGGGAGGATTCCCTCCTTTAGTATTATTTAATATAGTTTCAGAAGGAATGGAACCAGCTCCTCTTTGTACGTCTAGTAGATTTTTATTGCATCTATTTGATTCTTCTCACTTTTCTTTTTGATTAATCTGGCTAGCAGTCTATTTTGTTGATCTTTTCAAAAAACCAGCTCCTGGATTTATTGATTTTTTTGAAGCATTTTTTTGTGTCTCTATCTCCTTCAGTTCTGCTCTGATCTTAGTTATTTCTTGTGTTCTGCTAGCTTTTGAGTTTTTTTTTTATTTATTTATTTATTTATTTTTTTTATTTTTTTTTCCCCTTTATTTATTTTATTGCATTTTAGGTTTTGGGGTACATGTGAAGAACATGCAAAATTGTTGTATAGGAACACACATGGCAGTGTGATTTGCTGCCTTCCTCCCCATCACCTACATCTGGCATTTCTCCCCTTGCTATCTCTCCCCAGCTTCCCACCCCCCACCGTCCCTCCCCTATTTCCCCCCAACTGACCCCAGTGTGTAGTGCTCCCCTCCCTGTGTCCATGTG